TGGGATCATAAAATAGAGAAAGTCATAGAAAATGATAAAATTAAACTGCTCTGGGACTTCAGAATTCAAACAGACAAGCACCTGCAACATAAAAACCCAGACTTAACAATTGTCGATAAGAAAGACAAAAAAGTCTGGATAGTGGACGTGGCAGTGCCTGGAGACAGCAGAATAGATGAGAAAGAACTGGAGAAGATAACAAAATACAAACACCTACAAATAGAAATAGAAAGACTGTGGCAAAAGCAAGCAAGGGGAGTACCAATAGTCATAGGCTCCTTGGGTGCAATCCCAAAACAACTGGAGCACCACTTGAACACAATTGGCATTGACAAATTCGCTATTAGTCAATTGCAAAAGGCAGCCTTATTAGGAACTGCTTCCATCCTGCGACGATATCTGTAATACCATCAAACATCCACATCTGCCTATCCCAGGTCCTGGGTAAGGACTCGAGAGGTAGACAAAATGCCAAATCCAGTCTGAACATCTGGCTGACTGTGCGATGATCCATAGTAATAATAATAATAATGAAGTTGGAATGGACCTTGGAAGTCATCTAGTCCAACCCCCTGCTCAGGCAGGAAACCCTACGCCATTTCAGACAAAGGGCTGTCCAGTCTCTTCTTAAAAACTTCCAGGGTTGGAGCATTCACAGCTTCTAGTGGCAGGTTGTTCCATTGGTTAATTGTTCTCACTGTCAGGAAGTTTCTCCTTAGTTCCAGGTTGCTTCTGTCCTTGATCAGTTTCCACCCATTGCTTTGTCCTGCCCTCAGGTGCTTTGGAGAATAGCTTGACTCCCTCTTCTTTGGGGCAGCCCCCGAGATACTGGAACACTGCTATCCTGTCTCCCCTCATCCTTCTCTTCATTAAACTAGACATACCCAATTCCAACAACCGTTCCTCATATGTTTAAAGCCCCAGTCCCCTCATCATCTTTGTTGCTCTTCTCTGCACTCTTTCCAGAGTCTCAACATCTTTTTTTACATCATGGTGACCAAAACTGGATGAAGTATTGAATGTTGACAGTTTAGAAAAAATTCAGAGAAGAGCAACTAAGAAGATCAAAGGCCTGGAGACTAAAACATATGAAGGACAACTGCAGGACTTGGGTTTGGCTAATCTAAAGAAAACAAGAAATAGGGGAGACATGATAGCAGCATTCCAGTATTTAAGGGGTTGCCACAAAGAAGAGAGGGTCAAACTATTCTCCAAAGCACCAGAGGGAAGGACGAGAAACAATGGATGGAAACTGACCAAAGAGAGAAGCAACCTGGAATGAAGAAGAAACTTCCTGACAGTGAGGACAATTAACCAGTGGAACAGCTTGCCACCAGAAATCGTGGGCGCCCCATCACTGGAGATCTTTAAGAAAAGATTAGACAATCACCTATCTGAGATGGTGTAGGTTCTCCTGCTTGAGTGGGGGGGGGGCTGGACTAGAAGAACTCCAAGGTCCCTTCCAGCTCTATTCTATATATTGTTGTTCGTCCATCGATTTCGATGAAGACCTTGACATCTTGTGGGTTATGGGCCATCAATGATGTGTCCGTAGGTGGCTAATAAGACCGACGTTAGCACGGAATGTTCTGCCACATACTGAACAAAGAAATGTAGACACTGTTACTTCAGCATTTGCAGCTCTGGCTTTGCGGAGTGCTCGCTTCTCTTGTGCCAAGATTGTCCTTCTGTGTTCATATGTCTAGCAACCCTGGTACACCAAGGTGCGCCATGTTGGTTGATCATGCGCCAGAAGTTCCCAAGAGATGGTGTTAATATCCAGGGACTTAAGAGAAGCCTTCAACGTGTCTTTGTATTCTATATATAAAGCCATTTCTATAACAGAAAATCAATCAAATCAGTAAAACCCAAAATCAAAGTGTCATTATTTTTTCCATCTCAAACAAAGTCCAGAAGTGATCTCCAAGTAGAAATGAAAGTATTTATATCCTTTTTTTTTTTTTGTCAAAACAGTCAATTTAACCATCTCTGCTAACTCCATCAAACCTTTGTAGCCATTCATCCACGGTGGGAATCAAAACGTCTTTCCATTTTTTTTGCGTAGAATAGTTTTGCTGCTGTCAACATATATAAGATCAGAGTTCCAATGTTTGTTTGTTTTTCCTCAAGTCCTTTTCCATTAAACCCAAAAGAAAAGCTTCTGGTTTTATCTTTGGATTCACTTTAAGAATTTTCTGCATTAGAATATGAATCCTATTCCAGTATTTCTTTGCTGGATCACATGTCCACCATAAATGGTAAAGGTCCCTTTCTTTTACATTTACATGTCCAACCTTCATTTGAAGTACTTTTATACATTCTGGATAAATTGTCTGGTTCTAAATACCAGTGATACATCATCTTTTGCTGAAACACTTTGTGTGAAAGAAAAATCAGGCTCAGTTCCAAGCCGGGAATAAAATGGAGGCTGCTTTGGGAAGAAGGTTCTTGTTTATTGATGAGCAGAACCAGCAACAGCATGCAGTTCTGGGACAGCTGACAAATTGATTTGATGAGTATAAGGATTTTTATACAGTTTTGCAACATTTCATAATTTGGACAATTCCTTTGTGTGCTTTTGTTAATAGTTTTGTTTAGCTCAGTGGTTCTCAACCTTTTTAATGCCGCGACCCCCAACCAGTCGTAAGTCAAGGACTACTCAACCGGTCATAAATCAAGGACTACTCAACTGGGGCAGCACCGTTTGCAGAATGGGACTTTTGGCGGGTTCAGCAGGGCAGAGACAGCCTGGACAATTCCTATTGGCTTTTGAAAGCCAATAGAATTACACTCTATTCAAGAGAGTCTATTCTATTGCCTTTCAAAAGCCAATAGAATAAAAGGGAGTAGCACAGCTAAGGGAAAGGGGGAAAAAATGGCGGACTGCGTTGTTTGGCGACCCCCGTGAAATGGTCGTTCGACCCCAAATGGGGTCCCGACCCACAGGTTGAGAACCACTGGTTTAGCTTGTTTCATAAAGGCCAGCAATGGGTCTAAAATGCTGGCTTCCTTGAGGTTTAATCCTGTCAATGGATCAAAAATGCTGGCTTCCTTGAGGTTTAATCCCATTAATGGGTCTAAAATGCTGGCTTCCTTGAGGTTTAATCCCGTCAATGAATCTAAAATGCTGGCTTCCTTGAGGTTTAATCCTGTCAATGGGTCTAAAATGCTGGCTTCCTTGAGGTTTAATCCCGTCAATGGATCTAAAATGCTGGCTTCCTTGAGGTTTAATCCCGTCAATGGATCTAAAATGCTGGCTTCCTTGAGGTTTAATCCAGTCAATGGATCTAAAATGCTGGCTTCCTTGAGGTTTAATCCCATCAATGGGTCTAAAATGCTGGCTTCCTTGAGATTTAATCCTGTCAATGGGTCTAAAATGCTGGCTTCCTTGAGATTTAATCCTGTCAATGGGTCTAAAATGCTGGCTTCCTTGAGGTTTAATTTTGTCAGATAGATGTAATTAATTTTATCCCCTTATGTTCACTTGGACGATTATCTTTAGCAAGCTCTCTTTGTAAATCTACAGGCTTGTTTTCAGCGTTTTCTGCTTCTCACAATAGCCAAGGGCTTCAAATCATTGGGTGGCTGAGATCGATGGATTAAGATTTCCAGGGTGGCATCGTTCACTGATAAGGGAGACACATTCCTTTCTCAAGATGATAGAGGCAGGAGAGGGAAAGTAGAAAAAGAAAGTTATCCCAAGCGAAAGCATGCTCCACTCCCCCCAGCAGAACAGCAGGCCCCAAAAGTAGAACATATGTGCAGGGGAAACAATGAGGGTTTGGGGACCTGAGACAAGCTCAGAGAGAACCAAGGATCCCACTGACTGGGTTAGCTGCTCTGGAAAGAGTCAGGATGGTGGCCATCTCGTGCAATGTTAAGCCCATTCCCTCAAAAGGAATATATAATAATAATAATAATAATAATAATAATAATAATAATAATAATAATAATAATAATAATAATAATAATAATAATAATAATAATAAGGTTGGAAGGGACCTTGGAGATCATCTAGTCCAACCCCCTGCTCGGGCAGGAAACCCTATACCATTTCGGACAAATGACTGTCCAGTCTCTTCTTAAAAACTTCCAGTGTTGGAGCATTCACCGCTTCTGGAGGCAAGCTGTTCCACTGATTAATTGTTCTAACTGTCAGGAAGTTTCTCCGTAGTTCCAGGTTGCTTCTCTCCCTGATTAGTTTCCACCCGTTGCTTCTTGTCCTGCCTTCAGGCGCTTTGGAGAATAGCTTAATTCCCTCTTCTTTATGGCAGCCCCTGAGATATTGGAACACTATAAATGCTTGCGATAAATAAAACCATGAGCCATGACCATTTTCCAAAGTAACAATTTCATCCAGATCTGGGCAGAAATGTTCCAAGGATTTCAAATGTTGAGAACCCATTCAGAGAGAATAGAATAGAATAACAGAGCTGGAAGGGACTTTGGAGGTCTTCTAGTCCAACCCCCAGCTCTGGCAGGAAACCTTATACCATTTGAGACAAATGGCTGTCCAGTCTCCTCTTAAAAACCTCCAGTGTTGGAGCATTCACCGCTTCTGGAGGCAGGTTGTTCCACTGGTTAATTGTTCTCACTGTCAGGAAGTTTCTCCTTAATTCTAGGTTGCTTCTCTCCTTGATTAGTTTCCATCCGTTGCTTCTTGTCCTGCCTTCAGGGCTTTGGAGAAGAGCTTGACTCCCTCTTCTTTGGGGCAGCCCCTGAGATACTGGAAGACTGCTATCCTGTCCCCCCTCGTCCTTCTCTTCATTAAACTAGACATCCCCAATTCCAGCAACCGTTCCTTGTATGTTTTAGCCTCCAGTCCCCTGATAATCTTTGTTGCTTTCTAGAGTCTCAACATCTTTTTTACATCGTGGTGACCAAAACTGGATGCTTTACCAAAGTCTTGTAAAGTAGTGTTAACACTTCACGTGATCTTGATTCCATCCCTCTATTGATGCAGATGATCTTCACACATTTTTTTCTTCCTTCTCTTTCAGGATGACCAATTTGACGGTGGCTGAGGCCCTCTGCATGGCCCTCTTCTGCAGTTTGCTGGGACCAACTCTTGGGCTCAGCAGCCTCCAAAGTTTAAACTCTGGAAGAAATCGCAGGGGTAAGTTCAACTTTGAGGGAATCTCCTGAAATGGCATTTTGCTCCTTTGGGTAGATTCCATCCGAGTAAAACCATGATTGAACAACGGTTCATCCTGGCAGGAATGCTACCTAGTGGTGTTTGCATCCATGGGTGTATCTGGATAGGGCAGGGGTAGGCAACCTCGGCTCTTTTATGACTCATGGACTTCAACTCCCAGAATTCCTCAGCCAGCCATGCTGAGGGGAAAGGGAGAAGTTTCCAAGCTGAGCCATGCTGGCTCAAGAATTCTGGGAGTTGAAGTCCACGAGTCATGAGGGGGCCATAGTTCCCCGATGCTGGCTCAGGAATTCTGGGAGTTGAAGTCCACGAGTCATGAGGGGGCCATAGTTCCCCCATGCTGGCTCAGGAATTATGGGAGTTGAAGTCCACGAGTCATAAAAGAGCCGAGGTTGCCTACCCCTGGGATAGGGACATCAAATCTATGTATCTTCCACCCAGTTGTTTTAAGAAAAAAGTTAATGCAGAAACTAAAGGTTATAGCTAACTCTATTGAAGCCAGAAATAATGTCTTCCAAAAAATGAAACCATACCTTCAAAATTGCATAAGGGCTTGTAAATACAGAATATATAAAGATACAGTATATGTAAAAATAAAGTTACAATCTGGATAGGTTTCTTAGCAACTTGAAGATGTGTGTGGACTTCAACTCCCAGAATTCCCCAGACAGCCATGCTGATGTTTCAATGGACAGACTGTTTGATCTAGGCAACCTGAGCTCTTTTATGACTGGTGGACTTCAACTCCCAGAATTCCTGAGCCAGCCATGCTGAGGGGAAAGGGAGAGGTTTCCAAGCTGAGCCATGTTGGCTCAGGAATTCTGGGAGTTGAAGTCCACCAGTCACGAGGGGCCATAGTTCCCCCATGCTGGCTCAGGAATTCTGGGAGTTGAAGTCCACGAGTCCTGAGGGGGCCATAGTTCCCCCATGCTGGCTCAGGAATTCTGGGAGTTGAAGTCCACGAGTCATGAGGGGGCCATAGTGCCAGGAATTCTGGGAGTTGAAGAGTCATGAGGGGGCCATAGTTCTCCCATGCTGGATCAGGAATTCTGGGAGTTGAAGTCCACCAGTCATAAAAAAGCCAAGGTGGCCTACCTCTGGACCAGAGCAAGCAATCTCCAAACTTGGCAACTTAAGACTTCATCTCCCAGAATTCTCCAGCCAACCATGCTGGGAATTGAAGTCCACAAGTTGGAAAGTTGCCAAGTGTGGAGACCCTTGATCTAGTGGTTAAGACAGAAGACTAGAAAGTGAAGATTATGAATTCTTGTTGTGGGGAATATCGGAGGCATGTTGTATACTGTATGTCATCTTGAGTTATTTGTAAAAAATAATAAAAAGGTGGAATACAGAACAGAACAGAATAGAATAGAATATAGGAATAGAATAGAACAGAGTAGAGTAGAGTAGAGTAGAATAGAATAGAATAGAATAGAATAGAATAGAATAGAATAGAATAGAATAGAATAGAATAGAATAGAATAGAATAGAAATAACAGATTGTAGAATAGAATAGAAATACAGAATAGAATAGAATAGAATAGAAATACAGAATAGAATAGAATAGAATAGAAATACAGAATAGAATAGAATAGAATAGAATAGAACAGAATAGAATAGAAATAACAGATTGTAGAATAGAATAGAATAGAATAGAATAGAATAGAAATAACAGATTGTAGAATAGAATAGAATAGAATAGAGTGGAATGGAATGGAACAGAACAGAACAGAATAGAATATATGGAATAGAATGGAATGGAACACAGAACACAGAACACAGAATACAGAATAGAATAGAAAATAGAATAATAATATATACATACTCAACTAGGTAGTAGCATCAGTGCTAGGCTGTAGGAGCAAAGCAGATTGTGGTAAGTACCACCTGGTACACCACGAAATCTGAGTCCCAGCTGCCGAGAACTGAACCAGGGAGAAAAGGGAAAGCAAATGTTTCCTTGCAAAGAGGAACATCCGTAAGATTTTGAGACAGAAGATCTGATGAAGGCAAGTATTGTTGTTGGGAAAAGCCTGATGTGGTCCTTTCTCTTCTCTACACAGGCTTGCTTGGAGGAAAGGGGGGGCTGCTTGGTGGAATCCTTGGTGGTGGAGACAAAGGTGGGGGAGGTGTGCTTGGTGACGTCCTTGGTGGAATCCTTGGCGGTGGAGACAAAGGTGGAGGAGGAGGGGGAGGTGGGGGAGGAGGTGTCCTTGGAGGTGGAGGCAAAGGCGTGGTTGGTGGTGTCCTCAGCGGTGTGGGAGGTCTTGTCAACAACACAACCGGTTCGGTGCTCCCTGGTGCAGGTGTACCTGTAGTTGGAGATGTCCTTGGTGGTGTCCTTGGAGGTGGAGGCAAAGGTGGTGGAGGTGTCCTTGGTGGCGTCCTTGGAGGTGGAGACAAAGGCGTGGTTAGTGGTGTCCTTGGCGGTGTGGGAGGTGTTCTCAACAATGCAACCGGTTCGGTGCTCCCTGGTGGAGGTGTACCTGGAGTTGGAGGTCTGCTTGGTGGGGGTGGAGGAAAAGGAGGAGGATTTCTCGGCAGTGTCCTCGATGACGTCGGAGGTCTTCTCAACGACACAACCAATTCGCTGCTTGCCAGCGGTCTCCTGAACGGAGTTCTGGATCAGAACCAACTTCGCGACCTCCTGGGCTCCCTCAATGGAAACTTACTCGGTCTGGGAAGCGGAGGAACTAAGGAGTCATTCCAGTGGTGAGTTGAGAAGAACCAGGAGACCAAGGCTGGTCTACCCCAAAATATAGATCCAGGAACATCCCTCAGTATCCCTGGGTTGTAAGTTAAGTGGTTGTGAGTCCAGGACTTCCCGTACACAGAAGCAGAGGTTTGGATGAGGATCCGGCCGGTGTGCAATGAGGCAGGCTGGAAGGTTGCAATAGGTCCTCAGGTTATGACCGTAAATGTTGTAGCCATCATTAAGGAAATGCTGAGGTCATTAAATAACAATTATCTTGCTTAGCAACAGAAAGGTTGACCTCAGTTGTGCCTGTAGATGGGAAGACCTCTCCAGGTGACCAGGGAGATCCTTACTGAAAGACGCGTTTGATAGATCACTTCCCTTCTCAAGCAAAATGGATCTCTTGGCAGACCCTAGGATAAAAAGAGGAGGAGCTGGTGAAGGGCTCTGTTCTGGGCCTAGTGCTCTTCAACATCTTCATCAACGATTTGGACGAGGGGATAGATGGGGAACTCATCAAATTTGCAGACGACACCAAGCTGGCAGGAATAGCCAACACTCCAGGCTTAAGATACAGAGGGATCTGGACAGACTTGAACACTGGGCACTAACAAAATGAAATTCAATGGTGAAAAAAGCAAGGTTCTACATTTAGGCAAGAAAAACCAAATGCACAAGTACAGCATAGGTGGCACCATGCTCAATACTAGTAACTGTGAGAGGGACCTCGGAGTCCTAGTAGACAATCACCTAAATAGGAGCCAGCCGTGTGCTGCAGCTGCCAAAAAGGCCAACACAGTGCTGGGCTGCAGTAACAGAGGGATAGAATCAAGATCACGTGAAGTATTAATGCCACTCTACAATGTCTTGGTGCCACACTTGGAATGCTGCATCCAGTTTTGGTCACCACGATGTAAAAAAGATGTTGAGACTCTAGAAAGAGTACAGAGAAGAGCAACAAAGATGATTAGGGGACTGGAGGCTAAAACATATAAGGAACGGTTGCTAGAATTGGGTATGTCTAGTTTAACGAAGAGAAGGACAACGGGGGACATGATAGCAGTATTCCAATATCTCAGGGGCTGCCATAAAGAAGAGGGAATTAAGCTATTTTCCAAAGCACCTGAAGGCAGGACAAGAAGCAACGGGTGGAAACTAATCAAGGAGAGAAGCAACTAGAACTAAGGAGAAACTTCCTGACAGTGAGAACAATTAATCAGTGGAACAGCCTGCCTCCAGAAGCAGTAAATGCTCCAACACTGGAAGTTTTTAAGAAGAGACTGGACAGCATTTGTCCGAAATGGTGTAGGGTTTCCTGCCTGAGCAGGGGGTTGGACTAGATGACCTCCAAGGTCCCTTCCAACTTTACTACTATTACAAGGCAACGTGAAAAGGCCAACAGCAATTTTGGGGTGACCCTTTTTGCTTTATCCTTCTTTCTTTTTATTCACCTCCTAGGTACAACATTTTGAACCTCCAATTTATCAGAGGGTCTTGGAAGATCGTAGGCGGAACGGAGTTGATCCTCAATTTGCAAGCCGTGATCGTCATGAAATTGCCAGTGTACGTCGTTGGGTGAACTTGTTGGAGTGGGGTAGAGAGGGAGGGTCTGGATCTGAAGGGGGGGGGAGACCCAGATTTTGTTCCCCTGATAGATATGGAATCTCCTTGGGGGCTAGGTAAAGGCTTTCTCTCCACCTCTACTTCAGACACAAGAAGACGGGGTGAAGAAGGTACTAGACCAGTGGTTCTCAACCTTTTTAATGCCGCAACCCCCCCAATCGGTCGTAAGTCGAGGACTACTCAACCGGTCGTAAGTCGAGGACTACTCAACTGGTGCAGCACCGTTTGCAGATTGGGACTTTTGGCGGGCTCAGCAGGGCAGAGACAGCCTGGACAAGTCCTATTGGTTTTTGAAAGCCAATAGAATTAGACTCTATTCAAGAGAGTCTATTCTATTGGCTTTCAAAAGCCAATAGAATAAAAGGGAGGAACACAGCTAAGGAAAGGGGGGGGGGAAATGGCGGACTGCGTTGTTTGGTCGTTCGACCCCAAATGGGGTCCCGACCCACAGGTTGAGAACCACTGCTCTAGACCAATTGAGGAGAGATATATAGAATAGAATAGTTGGAAAGGACCTTGGAGGTCATCTAGTCCACCCCCCTGCTCAGGAAGGAAGCCCTATACCATTTGAGACAAATGGCTGTCCAGTGTCTTCTTAAAAACTTCCAGTATTGGAGTATTCACCGCTTCTGGAGGCAGGTTGTTCCACTGGTTAATTGTTCTCACTGTCAGGAAGTTTCTCCGTAGTTCTAGGTTGCTTCTCTCCTTTTTGAGTTTCCATCCGTGGCTTCTCGTCCTGCCTTCAGGCGCTTTGGAGAATAGCTTGACTCCCTCTTCTCTGGGGCAGCCCCTGAGATACTGGGAGACTGCTATCATGTTGATGTTCCCAAGCAACATCGGTGATGCCATCTGGGAGATATGCCTGAGGTTGGGGTTTGAAATGGATTTTGGAGATTCAAAAGAAAGAACATAGAAGCTTCCATGGCCTCTTCAGAAGCCACAAAGCATCCATCAACAGAAGTCCACTTGGAGAAGATTATATCAGTGGAACAACTTGTCTCCAGAAGTTGTGAATGCTCCAACACTGGAAGTTTTTAAGAAGAGATTGGCATAGGGTCTTCTCCTTGAGCAGGCAGTTGGACTAGATGACCTCCAAGGTCCCTTCCAACTTTGTTATCCTGTTATGTCCAGAATGGTGGGCCAGGATAGGACCAGGCAGCCTGGGGTCTGGCTTTCCAACATCACTTCCCTTTCCTATTTTTCTTCAACAGGCTGCTCTTTCGGACTGTCACTATGGATGTGAACATCACTGCGCACCTGGCCATCACCCAGGACAAACCGGGTGACCTCAAGCTGGTCCTTAAAAATTGCCAAAACCTGGTGGCTGGTTTTACCATCAAGATGCCCTCCAGGTAGGCTGGCAGAAAGGAGAGACAGGATCGGTCTCCTAAGGGTCCATCCGGGGGGACTCAAGACTGTGTCTGCACAATAATTTTAACCAGGCCAGTTTGAGGTTTTTGTCTAGACACATCAAGTATTGGGGAGTTCTTGTAGCTTAGTTGGGTGAGCCCAAACCATGGTCATTTATGATAGAGACTGAGAGAAGAGATGCTGGATGAATATTGTACTGTAGATGGGAGAGAGGGGGGAGGGGAGAGAGAGAGAGAGATGGACAGCCATATGGAAATGATAAACAGATTAGAGAGAGAGAGAGATGATAGATGGATAGACATAGATTAGATAGATATAGATATCGATTAGATACATAAGATAGGTAAATAGAAATCGATTAGATAAATAGACATCAATTAGATAGATAGATAGAGATGAAAGATAAATGATAGAGATGATATAGAGTAAGATAGACATAGATAATGTATACAGAGAGATGAAAGATAGATAGATAGATAGATAGATAGATAGATAGATAGATAGATAGATAGATAGATAGATAGATAGATGTACAGATACCGACAGATGGATGGACAGACAGAAACATACATAGAGAGAGATGAGAGAGAGAGACAAATGAGAGAAAGATAGATAATATAGAGATAAATGATAGAGATGATAGAGAGAGAGAGAAAGAAAGAGACATAGATAATATATAGAGATAGATAGATAGATAGATAGATAGATAGATAGATAGATAGATGGAAAGTTGGATGGATGGATGGATGGATAGACAGACAGACAGACAGACAGACAGACAGACATAATGTATAGAGATGGATGAAAGATAAATGATAGATGAATAGATAGATAGATACCATAGATATGTTGATGCGAGCCTGGGGTGACCCCCACCCACCTTCCTCACGGGGGGAGCTGAAACGCCACCCAGCTGCTTGGTGTGAGTCTCTTGCCCCTTCTCTCCACAGCCTGGTCGCCACGCTGCTCACCAACCTCATGAACCTGGCCGTTCAGAACAACATGCCTCGCATGGTGAGTGACCGGAGACCTGCCAGGGTTGGAAAACTGGCAAAACAGGACACCTGCCGACACGTCTTCCCGCTCACCTGCTCCTCACGGCCCCACATCCAGCCTAGAGATCTGGGAGAATCACGGAATAGAATGGAATAGAAATACAGAATAGTAGAATAGAATAGAATAATGAATAGAATAGAATAATGAATAGAAAAGAAAAGAAATACAGAATAGAATAGAAATACAGAACAGAAATACAGAATAGAATACAAATACAGAATAGTAGAATAGAATAGAACAGTGTTTCCCAAACTTGACAATTTTAAGGCATGAGGACTTCAACTGCCAGAATTCCACAGCCAGCAACGCTGGCTGTGGAATTCTGGGAGTTGAAGTCCACATGCCTTAAAATTGTCAAGTTTGGGAAACACTGGAATAATGAATAGAATAGAATAGAATAGAAATACAGTAGAAGAGAATAGAATAGAATAATGAATAGAATAGAATAATGAATAAAATAATGAATAGAATAGAATAATGAACAGAATAGAATAGAATAGAAATACAGTAGAATAGAATAGAATAGAATAGAATAGAATAATGAATAGAATAGAATAATGAATAGAATAATGAATAAAATAATGAATAGAATAGAATAGAAATACAGAATAGTAGAATAGAATAGCATAGAATAATGACTAGAATAGAAAAGAAATACAGAATAGAATAGAAATACAGAATAGAAATATAGAATAGAAATACAGAATAGAATAGAAATACAGAACAGAAATACAGAATAGTAGAATAGAATAGAATAATGAATAGAATAGAATAATGAATAGAATAGAATAATGAATAAAATAATGAATAGAATAGAAATACAGAATAGTAGAATAGAATAGAATAATGAATAGAATAGCATAGAATAGAATAATGAATAGAATAATGAATAGAATAGAAAAGAAATACAGAATAGAATAGAAATACAGAATAGAAATATAGAATAGAATAGAAATACAGAATAGTAGAATAGAATAATGAATAGAATAATGAATAGAATGGAATAATGAATAGAATAGAATAATGAATAAAATAATGAATAGAATAGAATAGAAATACAGAATAGTAGAATAGAATAGCATAGAATAATGAATAGAATAGAATAATGAATAGAAAAGAAATACAGAATAGAATAGAAATACAGAATAAAAATATAGAATAGAAAAGAAAATACAGAATAGAATAGAAATACAGAACAGAAATACAGAATAGAATAGAAATACAGAATAGTAGAATAGAATAATGAATAGAATAGAATAGAAATACAGAATAGTAGAATAGAATAGAATAATGAATATAGAATAGAAATACAGAATAGTAGAATAGAATAGAATAGAATAATGAATAGAATAGAATAATGAATAGAATAGAATAATGAATAGAATAGAATAGAAATACAGAATAGTAGAATAGAATAGCATAGAATAATGAATAGAATAAAATAATGAATAGAATAGCATAGAATAGAATAGAATAATGAATAGAATAGAATGAATAGAATATAATGGAATAGAAATACAGAATAGTAGAATACAATAGCACCAAGGAGGAATTTTCTGACAGTGAGAACAATTCATCAGTAGAAACAGAAGTTGCCACCAGAAGTTGGGGGTGCTCCAACACTGGAAGTTTTTAAGAAGTGATTGGACACTCGTTGGCCTGGAAGGGTTTAGGGCTTCCTGCCTAAGCAGGGGCTTTGGACTAGAAGACCTCCAAGGGCCCTCCTAACTCCTGTTATTCTTCTAAAGTTGGTACGGCTGGTGGTGTGGTCTAATGTCGTCTGGATTCCCAGGAAGGAGGGGCGACATTTCAGAAAAGGAAGGAGCCAAACAGTCTGGCTTGTGTGTGAGAAAGAGGGTGGAGACACCTCCTCCTCAATAGTTCCCAGAATATTTTTTTTTAATGGTCCAAATAATTGGCTTCAGTTTGGCAATAACAACACAGGAAAACGTCTTAAAAGTGCCTCGACGTGCCTTTTGGTGGGGATTAGGCAGAACATGGCAAAGGGACTAACTCCAAAGGGCCAGGAGTTGTTCTTCCAAACCTTTGGAAGGAACTCTACTTCAAGGCTGCTACGTCCTCAGCTCTCAGGTGGACGTCTTCTCCCAAGCAGAAGGATCAACGGTTTGGAGAAGACAGGTCTCCAAGATTCATTCCGCTTAAGGTCTCTAGAACAGTGGTTCTCAATCTTTTTAATGCTGTGACCCCCAACCGGTCGTAAGTCAAGGACTACTCAACCGGTCATAAGTCGAGGACTACTCAACTGGTGCAGCACCGTTTGCAGAATGGGACTTTTGGCGGGCTCAGCAGGGCAGAGACAGCCTGAACAATTCCTATTGGCTTTTGAAAGCCAATCGAATTAGACTCTATTCAAGAGAGTCTATTCTATTGGCTTTCAAAAGCCAATAGAATAAAAGGGAGTAGCACAGCTGAGGAAAAGGGGGGGGGGGGAAATGGCGGACTGCGTTGTTTGGCGACCCCCGTGAAATGGTCGTTCGACCCCAAATGGGGTCCCGACCCACAGGTTGAGAACTGCTGCTCTAGAACTTCGTAGGTTAATCTTGGCACCTTAAATGATCTTTGGAAATCTGTTGGAAGCCAATGCAGTGTCTAGAGTGGAGATACTAGGCTGCTGAACTGGCACTCCCCCGCCACCAGGTAGACACCAACTGAAGGTTCCAGACAATCTTCAAGGGCAGGCCCAAGAAGACCCATGAGCTGGGATTCGTCCAGGTGGTTCTTCTTTGATCCCACCGGCTTCCAGACCGAGGTCTGCTGGTCCAAAGGTGGCTTTTTCTCTCTTTCTGAGCTTCCACATTTCTGCTCTCTTTTAGTTGTGTCCCATATTTCAAATCTGGATCAACGTCATCAATATGAAACTCAGGATCCTCAACAGTAAGTTTTCTTTCGGTGCGCAGGTGGACCTCTGGGTCCATGGATGAACTGGACTCTGGGCGCCCTCTGAGCGCGGTGGTTTTCTTGCAGACGTTTCGTGACCCAACTAGGGAACTTCAGTAGTGCTAGAAGGGAGTGGAGGGGTTTGTGGAGAGGAGGAAGAGGAGGAGGATGAGGATGACTGTGGAGTCCTTGGTACTCTCTGAGCATAGTTGTTTCCTTGCAGACATTTTATGGCCCAACTAGGGAATGTCATTAGTGCCAGAAGGAAAGGGAGAAGGAGGAGAAGGAGAAAGAGAAGGAGAAGGAGAAGGAGGAGAAAGGAGAAAGAAAAGGAGAAAGAGGAGAGAGGAAGGAGAAGGAGAAAGGAGAAGGAGAAAGGAGGAAGAGTGTAAGGTCCCTGGTATTCTCTGAGCATGGTTGTTTCCTTGCAGACATTTTATGACCCAACTAGGGAATGTCATTAGTGCCAGAAGAAAGGGGGTTGGGGGGGAGGAGGAGGAGGAGGAGGAGGAGGAGGAAGAGGAAGAGAAGAAGGAAAAGGAGAAAGAGGAGGAGGAGGAGAAAGAGAAAGGAGGAGGGGGAGAAACAAGGAGAAGGAGAAAAGAAGAGAAAGGAGGTGGAGAAGGAGAAAGGAGGAGGAGGAGGAGTGTAAGGTCTTTGGTGCTCTCTGAGCTTGGATGTTCTTGCAGACCTTTCATTAGCAGACTAAGGAACTTCATGAGTGTTGGGGAGGAGGAGGAAGAGGAGGAGGAGGAGGAGGGGGGGGACACCATGTGCTCCTTGGACCATCTGGGGCATGGCTCCCAGCTGGAAAGGGAAGGCAGAAACATCAGAAGAACAGAACTGGAAGGGAGAGTTGCCATACAAATCACTAGACAGGATTCTGCGGTGCTCAGCCAGCGTTTCCCAACATTTATGTCACACCTTTGACTTAACATTTGAACTCACTAGTTATATGACTCGCAGGATGAGGTATATTTGTCATAGGATCGCTGCGAAAGACGCTGAGGTTAGGGCGAAAGATTCTTAAAGGGATCGGAATATTAGGGTTACATGCCTTACAAATCAGAGCATATCCACCCTCGTCACGTCTCCAGCAATTATGAAGAACCAGCTCAGGATGATCATAAACACCGCGCATGGGAAATGAGCATTTTGCAAACAATCTGCATGCAAAATGAAAGAAAGAAAAGAAAGAGAGAGTTGGGCATGGACAAGAGAGAATTGAACCAGGATTTTAACAATGAAATTGTCTGGCGGTAGAGGGTATCTCATAGAATCAGTGTTTCCCAAACTTGACAATTTTAAGGCATGTGGACTTCAACTCCCAGAATTCCACAGCCAGCGTTGCTGGCTGTGGAATTCTGGGAGTTGAAGTCCTCATGCCTTAAAATTGTCAAGTTTGGGAAACACTGTCATAGATCAAGAGGTAGCTGGACCTCTCAGCAAGATGTAGGGCAAGGGGTTGGGGGGCCGGAGGGCTGGAAAAAAGGAAAGGGGGGGGGGAGAAAATGCAGGCAAAATGTAACCCTCTCCTTTGCCCCAACTGACCCCCCCCACCCTCCTGCTTCTTCCCCCCCCCCCAGATTACGTTTTCTTCGGGCTCCTCGGCCGAATCCACACGGCTCTTTCCACCATACCGATTTCGACCGGACAGTTTTCTGAGCTGGATCTGAAGGTGGGTCACAATTGGGTGGGATCTTCCCCCCCACACACACACACACTCTGGTGCCCCCCCCCACGCTGGGAATCCAGCTTCTACTCCACAATTTCTTCTTTGAAGGCCCCAAGCGAGGGGAATCTTGCGCCGAGTAGGGGGGGTTGGACTAAATGACCTCATGGTACGTCTGGTGAGCCACCACAGCTACCACTCATTCTCCGCAGAGAGAGAGAGAGAGCTCGTCCTCGGCATACGACGGTCGCGGCATCCCCGCAAGCGCACGATCAAAATTCGGGTCCTCAACTCACAAGTGTTCATTGAGTGACCGTTCCAAGTTACAACAGCACTGCAAGAAGTGATTTACGACTGTTTCCCACACCTTTGCAGCATCGCCATCGTCCCGATTAAAATTCAGACGCTTGGCAATTGACTCATGTTTACGACGGTCACACTGTCCCGAGGTCCTGCGATTCCCCCTTTGATGACCTTCTGACCAGCAAAATCAACATGGGAAGCCAGGTTCACCTCACAACTGCGTTCCCAATTTAACAACCGCAGCGACTCGCTAAGAATTGTGACAAGGAGTGTCGTAAAATGGGACAAAACTCCCTTAATGACCGTCTTGCTCAGCAACGGAAATTCCGCCCTCAATTGCGGTCGTTAAATCTTGAGGACTACTGTTTTTATTTAACAGGGGTGGCAGTTTCCTGGGGCCATGTGACCATCATCATCATCATCATCATCATATTTCTACTGGGAATGGGCAGCTTTTGATCTTTTCTCTTCGCAATAAAATAAAATGTTTATAAGAAGAATAAAGTTGGAAGGTCATCCAGTCCAACCCCCTGCTCAGGAAGGAAATCCTATACCATTTTGGACAAATGGCTGTCCAGTCTCTTCATAATAAAATTGGAAGGGACCTTGGAGGTCATCTAATCCAACCCCCTGCTCAGGAAGAAAACCTTATACCATTTCGGACAAATGGCTGTCCAGTCTTCTTAAAAACTTCCAGTGTTGGAGCATTCAGAACTTCTGGAGGCAAGGAGTTCCACTGGTTAATTGTTCTCACCATCAGGAAGTTTCTCCTTAGTTCTAGGTTGCTTCTCTCCTTGATGAGTTTCCATCCGTTGCTTCTCGTCCTGCCTTCAGGGGCTTTGGAAAATAGCTTGACTCCCTCTTCTTTGGGGCAACCCCTGAGATACTGGAAGGCTGCTATCCTGTCCCCCCTCGTCCTTCTCTTCGTTAAACTGGACGTACCCAATTCCAGCAACCATTCAGAGGCTCCCCAAATATATCATGAGGTCATTTAGTCCAACCCCTGCCATTGGGGAATAAAATGACCAAGTGATTCACTTAATGGCCACAGTTGATTCGCTTAACAACTGATGATTCGCTTAACAATGGCCAAAATCATAAAAAGCAACTTTTACTTAACAAGCACCTTGCTTTGCAATGGAAATTATGGGGTTGGGTTTAAGTCGATCCTAAATCGAGGGCTATCAACAAGACATACAGAAAAGATATTTGCCAGGGGTCAATTAATGCCAATTATTAATCTCTGACTTTCTGTCTCCTGCATCTCTAGGACAAACCGTTTCCGGGATTCTTCCTCAACTGGCTTCTCAACGGTAAGTTCTCGGTTGTCTCATCTTCTTTCCACCACCAGATCTCCCAAAGGACTACAACTCCCATCATCCCAACAAGCAAAAAGAATAGGAATAGGAATAGGAATAGGATAGGATAGAGTAGTAGTAGTAGTAGTAGTAGTAGTAGTAGTAGTAGTAGTAATAATAGTAATGGCTAAGAGCACAAAAATTGAAGAAAGAGACCGAGGGACTAATTCTGGCTGCACAAGACTAAGCCTTAAGGACAAATGCATACAAAGTCAAAATTGAGAAGACAGCAACAGACAGTAAGTGCCGCCTATGCAAAGAAGCTGAAGAAACAGTGGACCACTTGGTAAGCTGTTGCAAGAAGATTGCACAAACTGATTACAAGCAGCGGCATGACAAAGTAGCAACAATGGTGCATTGGAAGATCTGCAAAAAATATCATTTGCCTGTAAGCAAAAACTGGTGGAATCATAAAATAGAGAAAGTCATAGAAAATGATAAAATTAAACTGCTCTGGGACTTCAGAATTCAAACAGACAAGCACCTGCAACATAACACCCCAGACTTAACAATTGTCGATAAGAAAGACAAAAAAGTCTGGATAGTGGACTTGGCAGCGCCTGGAGACAGCAGAATAAATGAGAAAGAACTGGAGAAGATCACAGAATACAAAGACCTACAAATAGAAATAGAAAGACTGTGGCAAAAGCAAGCAAGGGTAGTACCAATTGTCATAGGTGTCTTGAGTGCAATCCCAAAACAGCTGGAGCACCACTTGAACACCATTGGCATTGACAAATTCGCTATTAGTCAATTGCAAAAGGCGGCCTTACTAGGAACTGCTTCCATCCTGCGACGATATCTGTAATACCATCAAACATCCACATCTGCCTATCCCAGGTCCTGGGTAAGGACTCAATAGGTAGACAAAATGCTAAATCCAGTCTGAACATCTGGCTGACTGTGCGATGATCCATAATAATAATAATAAACCCTCTAACTAAAGAAATAAAAGAATTGAAACAAAGAATAACTGAGCATCTAGAACAGCACAAAAACAACAGAATAAGGCTGCCTGCATTGAAGCTTGTTCCAAAGAAACCGCTAGCACAAGCATTAAAAGATGCAAATACTGCAATATGAAGTATAAGCACCTGGGTAAGGACACAATAGGTAGACAAAATGCCAAATCCAGGCTGATTGTGCGATGATCCATAATAATAATAATAATAAAGTTGGAAGGGATCTTGGAGGTCATTAAGTCCAACCCTATACCATTTCAGACAAATGGCTGTCCAGTCTCTTCTTAAAAACTTCCAGTGTTGGAGCATCCAACACTGGATAGAATAGAATAGAATAGAATAGAATAGAATAGAATAGAATAGAATAAGGAATAGGAATAGGAATAGAATTACAGAATAGAATTATAGAATGGAATGGAATGGAATGGAATAGAATAGAATAGAACAGGAATAGGAATAGGAATAGAATAACAGAGTTGGAAGGGACCCTGGAGGTCTTCTAGTCCAACCCCCTGCTCATGGCAGAAGATCCTATCAGGGGTCTTCAAACTTGGCAACTTTAAGACTTGTGGACTTCAACTCCCAGAATTCCTCAGCCAGCCCTTCCAACTCGATGTTATTCTAGGTAAAGTGAAGGAAGTGGGTGCAGATGTCAACTCGAGGATAAGATGTTCCAGAGGGTGGGAGCCATGCCAGAAAAGGGTCCTCTCTGGGACCCCCCCCCCCGACTGGAATTCCTTGAACAGACGGGGTCCTCAGCAGCCCCTCCTGCTGCTGTGGATGGGGTGGGCCAATCCCCCCCGGACCCGTGCCGTGAAGGACTTTCAAGGTGACGACCAACACCTTGAATTGGACCCGGAGGAAAACCGGCAACCAGTGCAGTTTCCACAACCGTGGAGCGATAGAATTGTCCCTGTTCCTGCATTCTGCCTTTGTAGCTTCGGAATGCCCTTCAAGGGCAGCCCCAGGTAGAGCACACTGCAGTAGTCCAGCCGAGAGACGAACAGGGCACGAACAACTAACGGTCTTCCTTCTCTGCAGATATCAATTCAAAGGTCATCCCGAAGATTGCTTGAGACGGTCCAGCGAGGCACCTGCGGGGTAAACAAAAGACGCAAAAATTGAGTTGTTGCGGTATCTATGCTTCCTTCGTGCTTGAAAGTTGCGCTTCTTCCTGTAGCCCATGTGCCACACGAGGGTCCCGTGCGCTGGATCTCTCTCATCTCTCCCCCCCACCGTTGCTTTTCTCTGCCACAGGGGTCACTGACCTGGGACGCTGAGCTCCTGAGCATGGTACAAGTGATGCCATTGAGAGGACCCGGGTGGACCTGGCCTGTGTGTGTGGAAGCCTCGCGCTGCAAACATCTGGAACGCGTTCCCGTCTCAGCGGTGACTTGTTCTCTTTCTAAAACTGACCTGGGAGTGATCGTCGAAATGCATATAAATAAGGCAAAATAAATATAGAAATAAAATAAAGAATTAAATGAATGGCTTAAATGAGTGAGGGGCCCAATCGGTTTGCAAAATCCAATTTCGAATGAGAACAGAAAATTTGGCGCAAGGTTTCCATGTGTTACTCGGCAGATCTGCCGCATTTAAGGGGGGGGGAAGCCCTAGTGGATGGAAGGAACTGCCCCCACTGGTCCTCTCAGGACAGCGCTAACTCTGTAGGGTTAATCAAAAGAATTAAAATTAATTAAAATTAATTAATTTTACTGAAAGTGGTTGCTGGAAAGTCAGGTGGAATCTTAATGGTCCCCCACGCAAAGCAAAAAGCAATTCTTCCCGTTCCAGACAACCGGGCAGCTCATGCATTGCCGCAAGGTTGTTTTGAGGATGCTGAGGTGCTGGGCAGATAACAGGTCATCCTCAGGGAGCAGTGACCTTGGAGTCAGGCTAGAGCAGTGGTTCTCAACCTGTGGGTCGGGACCCCATTTGGGGTCGAACGACCATTTCACGGCGGTCGCCAAACAAGGCTGTCCGCCATTTTTTCCCCTTTTCTTTGGCCACGCCCCTGGTACCCGGTGATGTATAAGTGGTTGGGGGTCACCACAACATGGGGAACTGTATTATGAGGTCGCGGCATTAGAAAGGTTGAGAACCACTGGGCTAGAACCATCCATCTCATCTCCAAAGACGATCCACCCCTCGAATTCCCACATCTAACAAAATGAAATTCAAGGATGAAAAAAGGAAGGTTCTACATTTAGGCAAGAAAAACCAAACGTACAGGGATAGTATAGGTCAGTGGTGGCAAACCTTTTAGAGACCGAGTGCCCAAACCGCAACCCAAAACCCACTTATTTATCGCAAAGTGCCAGGGCCGCATCAGCATTGTGGTGCCCTTGGGGAGGGGGCAGGGAGGTGCCTCTGGCACACAAAAAACGGGGGCGCAAAAATGGGCCACTGTGCTGCAAGGCGCAAAAATGCCCATGCCGTGGGGTGCAGATACAAGGCGCTGCACCATGCAAGAACGGGGCAAGGCTAGTATCACATAGGCACTAGCCCCACCCCATTTGCAGCACATGCGTGCTCGCGGCCCCATGCAGGCATGCACGTATGTAAAATGCTCCCCCCTCCCTTTCTTCCAGTCCAGCAATCAACAATGGTTGGTGACCTCTGCTCTACCACCTCTACTCCAGCTTGTTAGTCGGCCGCTTCGCCTCCTTTGTGCTGGGTGGAGCTCCTGTTCCGGGCAGCGGTGGTGGCCTGATGCACCTGCTGCTGGCGGTGGTGGTGTGTGTGCCAACAGAGAGGGCTCTGAGTGTCGCCTCTGGCATAATAATAATAATGATAAAGTTGGAAGGGACCTTGGAGGTCATCTAGTCCAAGCCCCTGCTCAGGCAGGAAACCCTATATCATTTTGGACAAATGGCTGTCCAGTTTCTTTTTAAAAACTTCCAGTGTTGGAGCATTCACCGCTTCTGGAGGCAGGTGGTTCCACTGGTTAATTGTTCTCACTGTCAGGAAGTTTCCACTTAGTTCCAGGTTGCTTCTCTCTTTGGTTAGTTTCCATCCGTTGCTTCTGGTCCTGTCTTCAGGCGCTTTGGAGAATAGCTTGACTCCCTCTTCTTTGGGGCAGCCCCTGAGATACTGGAAGACTGCTATCCTGTCCCCCCTTGTCCTTCTCTTCATTAAACTAGACCTACCCAATTCCAGCAACCGTTCCTTATCTGTTTTAGCCTCCAGTCCCCTCATCATCTTTGTTGCTCTTCTCTGCACTCTTTCCAGAGTCTCAGCATCTTTTTTACATCGTGGTGACCAAAACTGGCTGCCGTATTCCAAGTGTGGCCTTACCAAGGCCTTGTAAAGTGGTATTAATACTTCACATGATCTTGATTCCATTCCTCTGTTAATGCAGCCTAGCACTGTGTTGGCTTTTTTGGCAGCTGTATCACACGGCTGGCTCCTATTTAAGGGATTGTCCACGAGGACTCTGAGAAGCGAGGAGGATTAGCCAAAGGAGAGGATTCCATCCACAAGCCCCCATCCCTCCCCAGGAGGAAAAACATGTCTCATTTTCAGAAAGGGCTGGCAATTCTCCAGCAGGAGGGACACATGCCACGGAGAAAAATCAGGGGACAAGGGGCCAGCCTTCTAGCACTGGTGATGTTACCTAGTTTGGTAGTGAAATGTCTGCAAGGAAGCAGCCAAACTCAGAGAGCACAAAGGACCCCCCACAGTCCTCCTCTTCCTCTCCCTACTCAAGTCTGCAACCCCTCTCTCTTTTAGCACTGATAATGGTCCCTAGATGGGTCATGAAACATCTCCAATAAAACCACCCAGCTCAGGGAGCACCAAGGACCCCCCAGTCCTCCTCCATCTCCCTTCTAGCACTGATGATGTTACCTAGTTGGGTTATGAAATGTCTGCAAGAAAACCACCCAGTCAGAGAGCACCAAGGGCCCCACAGTTGCCCCCTTTCCTCCTCCTCTCCACACCCCACTCCCTTCTAGCACTGATGATGTTCCCTAGTTGGGTCATGAAACGTCTACAAGGGAAGCATCAAGCTCAGAGAGCACCAAGGAATCCACACTCGTAACTGTCTTCCTCCTCCTCCTCTCCACAAACCCCCCTCCCTTCTAGCACTGATGACGTTCCCTAGTTGGGTCACAAAATGTGTGCAAGAACCAACCAAAGTCGGAGAGCACCAAGGACCCCACTGTCCTCTTCCTCTTCTCCACAAACCTTACTACCGCTGGCGATGTCCCCTCGTTCGGCAATGAAAGATCTGTAGGGAAACGATCAGAAATGCTCAGAAAGCATCATGGAGCCCACAGTCTGGGGGTGGGGTGGGGTGGGGGGAAGGCTGCTCTCTCTAAAATCTCACTGGGCCAGTAAAATGAACCAATTCAGAATGTTAAGCTAAAGATCTGGGTGCTTTCCTTCTTGCTGTCCTCCCCAAAAAACCCCTAAAGTTAGTCCTTGACTTACGACTGGCAGCCTAGTGACGGTTCAAGGCGACAACGGAACACACACACCCCCGGAGCAACTCACGATCCGATTTCGAAGTTGTGATAACTGCATCTCCACATGACCACACCCTCACCTCCAATGGTGCTTTGCAGCACACCCAGGTCACCCTTTTTGATGATCTCTCTCTCTATATCTATCTATCTATCTATCTATCTATCTATCTATCTATCTATCTATCTATCTATCTATCTATCTCTATCTCTCTATATATATCTATCTCTATATCTCTCTCTCTCTCTCTCTCTCTCTCTCTCTCTCTCTCTCTCTCTCTATATATATATATATATATATATATATATATATCTATATATCTATCTCTATCTCTATCTATCTCTATATCTATCTATATCTATCTATCTCTCTATATCTATGTCTATATCTATCTATATTTATCTATATCTATTTATCTCTCTCTTTCTATCTTATCTATCTATCTATCTATCTATCTATCTATCTATCTATCTATCTATCTATCTATCTATCTTTATATCTCTATCTATCTATCTATCTATCTATATTTTGCTGGGTTTCTTTCTCATTTCCAATTTTAAAAAGCACCCACATTGGGCGAAACTTATTTCTTAAAAGACGGCCGTGTTTGCTTAATGACTGACACACACAGACAAAAAAAAGTCCAATCTGGTTATATGATGTCTTAACTTACAACCAAAATGATTTATGAATTATGTAACAATTCCAGGCTCCGTTACGGTCGTATGTCCGAGGACTACCAATGTTGATTCTTCCGGCCCCCAGCAGACAGGAGGTGTTGCGTTAAATCAGGGGTCCCCAAGGTTGGCCCCTTTAAGGCTGGTGGACTTCAACTCCCAGAATTCCTCAGCCAGCAAAGCTGCGTTAAATCAGGGGTCCCCAAGCTTGGCCCCTTTAAGGCTGGTGGACTTCAACTCCCAGAATTCCTCAGCCAGCAAAACTGGCTGAGGAATTCTGGGAGTTGAAGTCCACCAGCCTTAAAGGGGCCAAGCTTGGGGACCCCTGGGTTAAATGGCACCAAATCAAACACGGAAATCCTTAAAACCTACTCTTTGCAAAGATTAATTATATTTATTCCGGGGCTTCCCACTGCAACCACAAACCCCATCGTCTCTAAGGAGCCGAAAGGCGGGCTGCCCCACCCGGCTGGAGGGAACCAGCTCCAAGATGAGAGCCCCCGTCCACACTTCCTAAAGATTCTTCACACGATACACAACCTCACAAACCCGGCAAAGGGAGAGCGGAGGGCTGCTGGCGAGCCTTCTCGGGCCCAGCGGCTGAGTCCGTTGGCCCTCAAGACAACGGACGCACGTCTCGGACGAAGCGGGAAGCTCCCCTTCATGCACCATCCTTGCCAGCAGGTTGGAAGAAAGAGACAATTGCAGGAAGACGCTGCACTTGTGAAGGCATCCTCGGATGGACGCAGCACGGCCTCCTGCTTTTCCAGGCTGTTTGTCTAGCCAGGTAGCTCGTCTTCCGCCTTCCGTCGGGCCGCGGCTGCAGAAAATGCCATGTTGGCTGGCAGTGGTTGGGGGAACGGGCTCCGGCCGAGCGACGCCCCGGGCCGGGTGCAGCAGCTGGGATCCTAGGTGCTCGCTGGTCGCCGTTCAATCCTGGGCTGCTCCTCGGGGTCTTGGGGCTGCGGAGAATCCTCCCCCGGCACCATGGGCTGCCTCTGCTGAGGCCGGGGATGAGGAGCTGCCTCGGAGCGTGGTTCGGCAGAGGGGGGCGCCCTTCAGGGTCAGGGAGGAGGCCGAGGAGATCTGGGACGGGGGAGAAGGACGGTGGAAGCGGTCAATCACCAGGAGACGGGGAGTTCTAGTCCTGTCTTAGGCATAAAAGACAGCTGGGTGACCTTGGGCCAATCACCAGGAGACGGGGAGTTCTAGTCCCGCCTTAGGCATGAAAGACAGCGGGTGACTTTGGGCCAATCAGCAGGAGATGGGGAGTTCTAGTCCCGCCTTAGGCAGGAAAGACAGCTGGGTGACTTTGGGCCAATCACCAGGAGACGGTGAGTTCTAGTCCCGCCTTAGCCGTGAAAGTCAAACTGGGTGACTTTGGGCCAGTCACCAGGAGACGGTGAGTTCTAGTCCCGTCTTAGGCATGAAAGCCACTGGGTGACTTTGGGCCAGTCACCGGCAGATGTTGAGTACTAGTTCTGTCTTAGGCACAAAAGCCAGCTGGGTGAGTTTGGGCCAATCACCAGGAGATGGTGAGTTTTAGTCCTGCCTTAGACATGAAAGGTCCATAAGAGGACTTTTCAGGATTCGATTCAGGATGTGGAAATTGCACCTTTACTCTACAACAGGGGTCCCCAATCTGTGGGCCGCAGCCTGCTACCGGTCCGTGGTCTATTGGGTCCCAGGCCACAGGAATAGGTAGCGAATGCGCACATGTGTGCACGCACCCTCCCTACTCGCACTAGTGTAACCACACTGGTGCTAGTGGCCCTGTTTGCACATGTGTGGAGGCACTAGCACAGGAGCGGGCACCCTTGGCTCTTTTATGACTCATGGACTTCAACTCCCAGAATTCCTGAGCCAGCATGGGGGAACTATGGACCCCTCATGACTCGGGGACTTCAACTCCCAGAATTCCTGAGCCAGCATGGCTCAGCATGGAAACCTCTCTCTTTCCCCTCAGCGTGGCTGGCTCAGGAACGCTGGGAGTTGAAGTCCACCAGTCATGAGGGGGCCATAGTTCCCCCATGCTGGCTCAGGGAGTCTGGGAGTTGAAGTCCACCAGTCATAAAAGAGCCAAGGTTGCCTAGCCCTGCACTAGCGCCACCACCAGTGTCACGCAGGCACTAGCAGTGGGTGCTAGTGGCCTGTTTGTGCATGCGTGCGGGCACCAGTGCCATTATGAGTGTGTGCAGCCCGCCCTGCGCAGGCCCGTTTTGCGTACATACGCATGCTGCACACATGCGCGTCCTTTCCCCTGCTCCTCCCTTTCTCTCCGGGCCACCAACCCGGAAAAGTTGGGGCGCTCTGCTCTACACGCAAGAAAAGTCCAGAAGGCAGATAAAACTTCCAAAAATCCTTGAAGGGCCATTCGGGAGAAGCGTTCACCACGGGGCTTACCTCCACCAGGACGTAATCTCCCGGCTGCGCTCGGACGGCCGATGCCGCCGCAGTCCCGTCGCTCATCTCCACATCCGGGAAGATGACTTTGGCTCCGCCGTCGTTCCTGCCCCACAGCTCCAGCGGGGAGCGCTTGCTGGGCTAGAAAGGCCAAGGGGGAGTGGGGGGAAGGGAGGTCAGGAGGCTGGGTGGCCACCGCCAGCCAGCTGCTCTGGGGCACTCAGCGCATACCGTCCCGTCGCTCCCGGGGCGCCACTTGGGACAGGTGGAAGGCAACGGACAAGTTGGAGCTGGGCACGGTTTTCGGAAGAATAAATCCGAAACTGGGCAATGCCAAATCTCCCCGGCAAAGTCCAAGTCAGATTGTGCAACTGGAAGGCTTGTGTGGCTGAGTCCTACCTGGAGATCTGTCTGTCTGGCCGTCTCCTTCACTCTCTATCCCTCTCACTCTATCATTCTATCAGTCTATCACTATCACTCTATTTATTGACTATCTATCTATCACACTATCACCATCATCTAGCTAGCTGGCTATATCACTCTATCATCTATCACATTATCACTCTATATGTATCATCTATTTATCACTATCACTCCATCTACTCTCACACTATCATTCTATCATGCTATCTATCACTCTATATCTATCATCTATCTGTCTGTCGAATCTATATCACATTATCTATCAACTATTATCCATCACACTATCACTGTATCATGTTATCTATCACGCTGTATCTATCATCTATTTGTCACTATCACTCTATCTATCAACTATCATCTATCACACTATCATGCTACATATCACTTATCTATCTATCTATCTATCATCTATCTATCTATCTATCTATCTATCTATCTATCTATCTATCTATCTATCTATCTATCTACCCATCCATCCATATCATCCATCCATCCATCCATATCGGTCCCTATCTCTCTCTCTCTCTATCCATCCATCCATATCTATCATCTATCCATCCATCCATCCATATCTATCTATCTCTATCTATCTATCCATCCATATCCATCCATCCATATCTATCATCTATCTATCTATATCTATCTATCTACAGTATCTATCTATCCATCCATATCTATCTATCTATCTATCTATCTATCTATCTATCTATCTATCTATCTATCTATCTATCTACCCATCGATCCATATCTATCATCCATCCATCTCCGTCCCCATCTCTCTCTCTCTCCATCCATATCTATCTATCTATCTATCTATCTATCTATCTATCTATCTATCTATCTATCTATCTATCTATCTATCTATCTATAGAAAACATTAGTCAAGCATTTATCAGGATGATATTTCCTGCCTTGGGCATCAGATTAGACTAGAGGACCTCAAAGTGCCCCTCGAACCCTATCCTTATTCTTATCCTTATCCTATTGTTTTATTATATCTTATTGCTATCCATCTATCCATATCTTTCCTTCTTTCCTTCCTTCCTTCCCTCCCTTCCTCCCTCCCTTTCCACTCATCCATCCACCTCCATCACCTCTCTCTCTCTTTCTCCTCCCCCCTCCCTCCCTCCCTCCCGTTTCCCTGCCGTCCACTCGTGTCCCTCTCCCCAGGGACTCCGAGCGTTGCCCTCTCGCCTGCCCGACACCCCAGGATCCCAGGATCCAGCCTGCCTGGACCGACCAGAGCCTGCTCACCCCTTCCACCAGGACCACCTGGGTCTGACCCACGGCAGCCGCGTGGAGGCGGGAAGCCCCCTCCCGGAAGGCCACGTTGAGCTCCTCCAGCCGACGCTTCTTCACTTCGGGGGGGACGTCGTCCAGCAGGCGGTGAAAAGCCCGGGTTTTCTGGGGAGCAGAGCGACAGAGGGAGGGCAGTCAGGACTTGTGGAAGCCAGATGCAGGGCCAGGCCACGAGCGTCCAGCCAGGGGCTGACCTAGCAGCTGACCATACCAATAACAACCAGCCCAGGATGGCCCCTGCACTGGACAGCCCTGTAGGGTAGGCCAGACTAAGAAACTGACGCCACGTAGATCCATGCCCCAAAATTTCTCTGGCTCTGAGACATTTCTTGTGAATTTTGACCCGCTTTATGACTGTTCTTGACACGGCTCTTAAGTGAAACACAGGAGATGTTGAGTTCGTTACATGATTGTTAAGTGAACATGCCTTCCCCGTTGAGTTTGTCTGTCAGAGGGTCCCAAAAGAGGATCACACCATCCCGGGACGTTGCGACCGTCATAAATACGAGTCGGCTGCCCAGCGTCTGAATTTTGATCACGTGACCACAGGGATGCAGCAACAGGCGTGTGAAAAACGGTCACGGGTCACTTTCCGGCACTATTATAACTCTGAACAGTCACTGTTGTAAGTTGAGGACAGCCTGTGTTTTACTGGAATAATTCGGGAACAGAATCCCGTAAACCCAAATGAACGTCCGCTCCCTGACTTGATCTTCATGTCAACTTGGGTGGGGCTTGGCTGACGTGTTTTCCCGTGCTCCATTCTCGGCCTGGGCTGATGGCCCCCCTACTGGATCTCCCACCTGCCCCTCAAGATCCCTCCTGTTACAACCCTGGATTTTTGTGGTCTGAAGATTCTTTGGGCCAATCACCAGGAGACGGTGAGTTCTAGTCCCACCTTAGCCACGAAAGCCACTGGGTGACTTTGGGCCAATCAACAGGACTCAGGGAGTTCTAGTCCTGTCTTAGGCAGTAAAGCTGGTTGACTTTGGGCCAATCACCAGGAGACGGTGAGTTCTAGTCCCGCCTTAGGCATGAAAGCCACTGGGTGACTTTGGGCCAATCACCAGGAGACCGAGAGTTCTAGTCCCGCCTTAGGCAGTAAAACTAGCTGACTTTGGGCCAATCACCAGGAGACGGAGAGTTCTAGTCCCACCTTAGCCATGAAAGCCATTGGGTGACTTTGGGCCAATCAACAGAAGTCGATGAGTTCTAGTCCCATCTTAGGTAGTAAAGCTAGCTGACTTTGGGCCAATCACCAGGAGATGGTGAGTTCTAGTCCCGCCTTATGCATGAAAGCCAGCTGAGAGATTTGGGCCAATCACCAGGAGATGGTGAGTTCTAGTCCCGCCTTACGCATGAAAGCCAGCTGGGAGATTTGGGCCAATCACCAGGAGACGGTGAGTTCTAGTCTCGTTGTAGGCATGAAAGCCATCTGGGTGACTTTGGGCCAATCACCAAAAGATTGGGAGTTGTAGTCCCATCTCAGGCGTGAAAGCCAGCTATCCCTCTCTCTCAGCCCAACCCACCTCACAGGGTCGTTGTTCTGGGCAAAACAGGAGGAAGGAGTGTGGGATATATTCCCCGCCTTGAAATATTTGTCAAAAATCATAAAGGCTGGATGCAAATAAAGAACAATTCAGCCAACAGCCGCAACATGGGGCACATCTACCACAGATGTGAATCAGCCACCCCCCCAACCCCCCAGGTGCCACCCAGTCACGCCCTGGCCTCACCTGCCGCTGGCTGTAGGCAAAGATATAGGCGAAGTTGTAGCCGACCTCATGAAGGAGCGACAGCGTCTGCAGGTGATCGGCCTCCGTCTCTCCGCAAAAGCCGGTGATGAAGTCACTGGTGAGTGTTGCGCCTGCCACAGGAAGGTCATTTACAGAGAGTCCTCGTTTAGCGACCGTTCGAAGCTACGACAAGCCCCCCAAAGGTACCTATGACCCAATTTCCAAGATCACTCAGCCGCATCTCCTCCCCTCCCCAAACAATCACATATTTTGGGAACTTCCCAACCGACTCATATTAATGGCTATTTGCAGCATCCCAAGGTCAGCTGGTTGTACTTTTCAATAATTTTGAGGGTTTTTTGCCGATTTCCACCATTTCTGGAAAAAAAAACCCACATTGGATAATACGGATTTTTTTTAACGTCCACGCTGTTCACTTAATAACTCGTTTACTGTAGTTTTCGCTTGACAGCTGCAGTGTTCACTTAAACGACCGCTGCCAATGAATCAATACACTGGGCAAAACCGGCTGGGGGATTCTGGGAGTTGAAGTCCACCCATCTTGAAAGTTGCCACTTTGAAAAAAGGACGATCTAAATCAATAAATCATATGTAGCCATCCCCTTTAAGCCAGATTCCTGAAAAACTGAAAGGAAATCTCTAAACAATGGTATAGATCAGGGGTAGGCAACCTTGGCTCTTTTATGACTGGTGGACTTCAACTCCCAGAATTCCTGGGCTAGCATGGGGGAACTATGGCCCCCTCATGACTGGTGGACTTCAACTCCCAGAATTCCTGAGCCAGCATGGGGGAACTTTGGCCCCCTCATGACTCGTGGGCTTCAACTCCCAGAATTCCTGAGCCAGCCTGGCTCAGCTTGGAAACCTCTCCCTTTCCCCTCAGCATGGCTGGCTGAGGAATTCTGGGAGTTGAAGTCCACCAGTCATAAATGAGCCAAGGTTCCCCACCCCTGTCCTAGTTCACTCACCATCTCCAATGTGGAATACCCCCATCTTTACAGCTCCTAATTTTAAAATAAGCCCAGGGATAGAGGCCACCCCATGACATTCAACATGAGAGCAGACGGGTGACATGTAATCATGCAATTAAGGCAATGATGTCACAGAATTGCCACGTGGCTTCCCTCTCCCCATCGCCTGTATGTTATCTTCAAAGTCCATAAATAGGTCATTTGAGTCTGGCGGTCAACGTAGAACGTAACTGAGGGACCCACCTGATAAATAATCGCGGAGTTGGTGTACAAGCTCCAGGTATGATTCCCGCGTGTACCTGGAAGGATAAGAAGGTGGACGTCAGGCCCCAAACCAACAAGGAACACCTGAGGATGCTTCCAAGCTGACTTCTATACCTGTAGGCAAAATCTTGCCAGACTCAACACTCTGCAGCCTCAAATCCTCTCCAGACACACAGGTTTGTGTGCTGGAATGGGATACGTGTTCTGCTTTGTGTTGCAAATCAGAATCTAAGCCAGGGGTGTCAACGTCACGTGATGTGTGGTGACGCATCGTGACTTTTTCCCCATTGCCGGAGCTGGGGTGGCCCTGTGGACCAGCAATTTGACACCCCTGATCTAAGCGAACTCCCCCAATGTTTTAGCCCAGGGGCGGGCAACCTTGGGTCTTTTATGACTCATGGACTTCAACTCCCAGAATTCCTGGGTCAGCATGGGGGAACTTTGGCCCCCTCATGACTCGTGGGCTTCAACTCCCAGAATTCCTGAGCCAGCATGGGGGAACTATGGCCCCTTATGACTCGTGGACTTCGACTCCCAGAATTCCTGAGCCAGCATTGGGGAACTATGGCCCCCTCATGACTGGTGGACTTCAACTCCCAGAATTCCTGAGCCAGCATTGGGGAACTATGGCCCCCTCATGACTGGTGGACTTCAACTCCCAGAATTCCTGAGCCAGCGTGGGGGAACTATGGCCCCCTCATGACTGGTGGACTTCAACTCCCAGAATTCCTGAGCCAGCGTGGGGGAACTATGGCCCCCTCATGACTGGTGGACTTCAACTCCCAGAATTCCTGAGCCAGCATGGGGGAACTATGGCCCCCTCATGACTGGTAGACTTCAACTCCCAGAATTCCTGAGCCAGCCTGGCTCAGCTTGGAAACTTCTCCCTTTCCCCTCAGCATGGCTGGCTCAGGAATTCTGGGAGTTGAGTCCACCAGTCATAAAAGAGCCCAGGTTGCCTACTCCTGGTTTAGCCGAATGGGCTGCTGAAGGGGGAGGCCACCTGGCTAAACCTTTTTCAAGGTGCGTAACAATCGCTGTAGATACTCACAGACACACAAGCACACATCTTACCCCCTCTTCATGGCCTCCAGGATACGGGAGCTGCCACTTTGGGCGGGAAGGTGCACCTGTTTGCAGATATTGTGCCTTTCCCGCATGACCTCGAAGACCTGCAAAATGCAAAGAGGGTGTTATTGGGACGCTGCTGCTGGCTTTAGGACGGGAAGAGCTCAGCGGGGGGGGGGGAAAGACCCACCTCATCCGGGAAGTCTTTGGGATGCGGAGAAGTGAAGCGGACCCTCATCTCTGGGTCCACGGCGGCCACTCGGTCCAGCAGCTCTGCAAAACGCAACCCGCCCTTTTTGGCTTTGTAGACGGTCCGGAATCCTGCTCTGAGCTCAGGTGACGCCAGGGAGAGGAACTGGACCTCGGAGGTGTCCCGGTAACTGTTGACGTTCTGGCCCAAAAGGGTCACTTCCTTCACACCCTACAAGGAGAGGAGGAGGAAGAGGAGGAGGGGAGGGGAGGAAAGCAGGAGGAGGAGAGGAGGAGATGAAAGCAGAAAGAGGAGAGGAGAGGAGAGGAAAGGAGGATAAGGAGGGGAGAGGAGGAGAAGAGGAGGGAGAAGAGGAAAGCAGGAAGAGGAGAGGAGAGGAAAGGAGGGGAGTGGAGAGGAGAGGAAAGGAGAAGGAGGGGAGAGGAGGAGGAGGACGAGGAGAGGAGAGGAGGAGAGGAGAGAAAAGCAGGGAGGAGAGGAAAGGAAAGCAGGAAGAGGAGGAGAGGAAAGGAGGGGAGAGAGGAGAGGAAAGGAGAAGGAGGGGAGAGAGGACAAGGAGAGGAGGAGAGGAGAGGAGGTGGAGAGGAAAGGAAAAGGAGGGGAGGACGAAGAAAGGAGAAGAGGAGAGGAGAGGAGAGAAGGAGAGGAGAGGAGGAGGTGGAGAGGAGAGGAAAGAAAAAGGAGGGGAGAGGACAAGGAGAGGAGGTGGAGGAGGAGGAGAGGAGGTGGAGAGATGAGGAGGGGAGAGGAGGGGAGGAGGAGATGTATGTTAAAAATCAATAAAATATATTTTATTAAAAGAAACTCTTAAAAGTTCCAAGGTTGGACACCCCTGGTCTAGGCTCTCCTGCTCGAGCATGGGGTTGGACTAGAAGACCTCCAAGGTCCCTTCCAACTCTTCTGTGATTCTATTCTGGAGTCCCCCCTTCCCCAAAGGGGCTGGGAAGAGCACAGGATCTATCTCCGCCTCGGGCAGAGTTCTTGGCTGACTCTGCAGGCTCAGTCAAAGGCTCCAAGTCACAGGCCACCTACCTGGTCCGACAGCATCTGCACTTCCTGGAGAATGGACGCCAAGGGCCGGCTGCGCTCGCGCCCCCGCGTGAAGGGGACAATGCAGTAGCTGCACATGTTGTCACAGCCGCGCATGATGGACCTGGGAGGGGGAAAGCCATTCCCCGAGAATGTTAGGGAGACAACTGGTGGGAGACTGGGAGTCAGGTTGGGATCTGGCTTCCCTTCCCAAGACAAGACTTGTCACCTTCTGGCCATCCTCTTCACTCATGAACAACAGATGGACATCCTGAAATTCCATCTTAACGCCCTGCGCTTGTCAAGATCGGGGCCTGCTCACACAACGCTGAGCACATGGGATACTTTGGAAGGGGGTAAGAAGATGCAGAACTGTCCGAAAGGTGCTCCCCCCCCCGGAAAGGACATCTGGACTTTCTTTTTTTTTTGAAGACGTTTCCCTTCTCATCCAAAAAGCTTCTTCAGTTCTAGCTGAATGGTGGATAGGAGGACTTATACTCCTTGTAGACAGCTGGGCGTTAGCATTCTCTCTCTAAGAGTCATTTGAGGCCACTTGGGAGGTTTATCTGGGGCCCCTTGAGCAGTGCAATAGTCCACACCCATGGGGGCAATAGTCCATACCCATTTGCACCGTTCAGGGGACCCCGAGGGCACAGACGAACCCCCAAGTGGCCTCAATGACTCTCAGCAGGAGTACTAATAACCAGAAGACTGCTAAGGAATATAAATCTTTCCATCCCACACCTTTCAAGTCAGAATTGAAGAAGCTTCTTGGATGAGAAGCGAAACGGCTTCAAGGGAAAAAAATCAAGGAAGTCCAGTTGTCTTTTGGGGGGCGGGGGGAATCACCTTTGTGACAACCGTGATCTGGATGACTGAGTGTCTCCAGAGACAAGATGCCGAACTGCAAAAATTTTTTAAAAAGGAGATCAGCACCAGAAATCATCAGGAGCACAGATGGAGCTATTGAGGCATTTTTTTATTCCAGTAATACTTCCTTCTCATTTCTCTTTTGTTCTCTCTCCCTCCCCCTCTCATCTCCTTCTATCTACATCAATCTATCTAGAGATCAATCATTTTCTAGCTGGCCAACTATTTGGTTATCATCTAGCTATCATCTCAATTCTATTCTATTCTATTCTATTCTATTCTATTCTAATTCTATTCTGTTCTATTTCTAATTCTAATTCTATTCCATTCCATTCTGTTCTATTATTCCATTCCATTCCATATTTTCTATTCCATTCTATTGTTATTCTATTCTATTCTATTCCATTTCATTGTTATTCTATTCTATAATTCCATTCCATTCCATATTTTCTATTCTATTCTATTGTTATTCTATTCTATTCCATTCCATTGTTATTCTATTCTATTATTCCATTCCATTCCATATTTTCTATTTTATTCTATTCTATTCTATTGTTATTCTATTCTATTCCATTCCATTGTTATTCTATTCTATTCCATTCTATTGTTATTCTATTCTATTCTATTTCATTGTTATTCTATTCTATTCTAAATTTTATTCTGTTCTGTTCTATTCTATTCCATTGTTATTCTATTCTATTCTATTATTCCATTCCATTCCATATTTTCTATTCTATTCTATTCCATTGTTGTTCTATTCTATTCTAAATCTTATTCTATTCTGTTCTGTTCTATTCTATTTCTATTCTGCTCTAATTCTATTCTATTCTGCTCTAATTCTATTCTATTCTATTCTATTCTATTCTATTCTATTCTATTCTATTCTATTCTATTCTATTCCCTAATCCATCTGTGTCTATCATAGCTAGCTATCTAGTTATAACCTATCTAGTTAGCACCTCTCTAGCTGTCTGTCTTTATGTCGATCTGCCTCTCCAAGGAAGATGCGCAGTTTAGAAATATGAATTACGAATCAATCTTCACTGCCCGGAGCCCCTTCCTAAGGCCGATGGGTGGTTAAGAAACACAAACTCTCTCTCTATAAATGAATCAATCCATCTTGGGCGTTTTCCACCTTCCAGGCTCCCAGGTTGGATCAAAGCAGCAAACAAACCGGGGTTTCCCCTTACACGAAGGCCGTGGTTGCGCCAGGGCCGAGGTGGACGGGCAAAATGTCTGCGTAGGTCTCGTCCAAAGAGAGGAGGACGTTGGCCGCCTGCTGGCCGGATTCAGCCACCGCCAAGAGCCGGGGCAGGTCCCGGTAAGCGTCCGGTCCGGCCACAATATCGACCAGCTTCTCCTCGTCCAAAATTTTCTCCTTCAGCCTCTCGGCCATGCAGCCTGCGAGAAGAGGCAGAAGCGTGAGGCGAAGAGGAGGAAATAAACGCACAGACTCTTGATCTGGAGATTTCACCTTGCTTCGAACCAGATTGACAGATTCAAAATCAAAGCTGCAGAAGAGACAGGAATCCTTTTGGTCTAGCAAGGGAGAGGGGAATGGCTTTTTAATGCTCCCACAGATGAGAAATAACTCACAGCTAGATTTCCTATTTATGAGGGGAGTGGGGGGGGGCATTCAAAACATTGCGGCGCTTTTTCCCACAAGTATTGACTTATTTTATTTTTTATTATTATCAGCTAGACTTCTATCCCTCCATTTCTTACGCCTTTGCATGTGTGCGCGCTTACCTAGGAAACGAAGCTGGATTATTCAGATTTCTATCCCAAGTTTATTATAAAAGACTCAAGGGGGGCGAACGTACCTAATCCACCTTTCCCCTTGTATTTTGCCCACAACAACCCAGTGAGGTGGTCTGGGCTGAGGGAGTGACTGGCAGGACTAGAACTCCCAGTCTCCTGGTGATGGGCCCGCGTCACCCAATCGGCTTTGATGCCTAAGGCAGAACTAGAACTCCCAGTCTCCTGATGATGGGCGCCAGTCACCCAATTGACTTTCATGCCTAAGGCAGGACTAGAACTCCCAGTCTCCTGATGATGGGCTCAAGTCACCCAATCGGCTTTCGTGCCTAAGGTGAGACTAGAACTCCCAGTCTCCTGGTGATGGGCCCACATCTACCCAATCGGCTTTCGTGTCTAAGGTGGGACTAGAACTCCCAGCCTGATGATGGACCCACATCACCCAATTGGCTTTCGTCCCTAAGGCAGAACTAGAACTCCCAGTCTCCTGATGATGGGCCCAAGTCACCCAATTAGCTTTCGTGCCTAAGGTGGGACTAGAACTCTCAGTCTCCTGATGATGGGCCCAAGTCACCCAATCAGCTTTCGTCCTTAAGGTGGAACTAAAACTCCCAGTCTCCTGGTGATGGGCCCACATCTACCCAATCGGCTTTCGTGCCTAAAGTGGGACTAGAACTCCCAGTCTCCTGATGATGAGCCCAAGTCACCCACTTGGCTTTGATGTCTAAGGTGGGACTAGAACTCACAGTCTCCTGGTGATTGGCTCCAAGTCACCCAATCGGCTTTCAAGCCTAAAGTAGGACTAGAACTAATTATCTCTTGGTGATTGGCCCAAAGTCATCCATTTGGTGTTCAGGTCTAAGGTGGGACTAGAACTCCCAGTCTCCTGATGATGGACCCATGTCACCCAATTGGCTTTCGTGCCTAAGGCAGGACTAGAACTCACCACCTCCTGGGGATTGGCCCAAAATCACCCAGCCAGCTTTCGTGCCTAAGGCGGGACTAGAACTCACAGTCTCCTGGTTCCTAGCCTGGTGCTTCCACCACTAAACTGGGATATTGGGTTGACTAAACTCTGGGAAGCTCCAGCTTTTGAAAAACCTGGCCTAGCCTTTCATCCCAGCCCTAGGTTCATCAGATACTGCCAGTCCAGCCCCAGGTGGTCTCCCTTCCTGCAAGACCCTTTGCTCTGAGTGCTTACATTACCTAAGATCCCAATCCGCAGGGATCCCCTGGAGCGTTGCCGTTTGGCCTTGAGGGTTTTGAACACAGCCAGGCGATTCCAGACCGTCTGCTCGGCTTTCTCCCTGTGAAACAATCAACCGTGGATGAACCTTTTCACCTAGAAACTCTGCTCAACTTGGAGAGGGGTCCTGAGTCCTTCCCTGCCCCTTCCGGGAATCCAGAACAGAATAACAGAGTTGGAAGGGATCTTGGAGGTCTTCTAGTCCAACCCCATGCTCAGGCAGGAGACTATATGCCAGGTGTGTCCAACCTTGGAATTTTAAGGCTTGTGGACTTCAGCTCCCAGAATTCACCACGATGTAAAAAAGATGTCGAGATTCTAGGAACAGTGCAGAGAAGAGCAACAAAGATGATGAGGGGACCGGAGGCTAAAACATATAAGGAACAGTTGCTGGAATTGGGTAGGTCTAGTTTAATGAAGAGAAGGACGAGGGGGGACAGGATAGCTGTGTTTCAGTATCTCAGGGGCTGCCCCAAAGAATAGGGAGTCAAGCTATTCTCCAAAGCGCCTGAAGGTAGGACAAGAAGCAACGGATGGAAACTAATCAAGGAGAGAAGCAACCTGGAATTAAGGAGAAACTTCCTGACAGTTAGAACAATTAATCAGTGGAACAACCTGCCTCCAGAAGTTGTGGGTGCAGGAACTGAGTACGTCTAATTTAATGAAGAGAAGGACGAGGGGGGACATGATGGCAGTCTTCCAGGATCTCAGGGGCTGCCCCAAAGAAGAGGGGTCAAGCTATTCTCCAAAGCGCCTGTTTTTGTAGCCTTCGGACCAACTCAATTGAAAAAAAACCAGGAATTGTGCACCCTCAGAGGGGAAGAGTTTCCGTAGGATCCGTCAGAACATTTAGAATCCGGCTTACCAGGATCAAGCCAGGATTCCAAGCCTGTGTTTCTTTAACAGAGGGACAGAATCAAGATCACGTGAAGTGTTAACACCACTTTACAAGGCCTTGGTAAGGCCACACTTGGAACATGGCATCTAGTTTTGGTCACTATGATATAAGAAAGATGTTGAGACTCTGGAAAGAGTACAGAGAAGAGCAACAAAGATGATCAGGGGACTGGAGGCGAAAACATATAAGGACAGTTGCTGGAATTGGGGATGTCCAGTTTAACAAAGAGAAGGACGAGGGGGGGGGCATGATAGCAGCCTTCCAGTCTCTCAGGGGCTGCCCCAAAGAAGAGGGAGTCAAGCTGTTCTCTAAAACGGCTGAAGGCAGGACAAGAAGCAACGGATGGAAACTCATCAAGGAGAGAAGCAACCTAGAACTAAGGCGAAACTTCCTGACAGTGGGAACAATTACAAGTGGAACAACCTTTCTCCAGAAGCGGGGAATTGGGAATTGAAGTCCACAAGTCTTAAAGTGGCCAAGTTTGAAGACCCTTGCCTTACAACAAAACTGGGGCCAGAATTTCTATTGCTATGCAGTGGCAGTTAGCTGAATTGTGCCCAATTTCATGATGGTTTTAGCCACGGTTGTTAACTTCAGCACATCTTCTTCGTTGTCCTTCAAATATTCTTCCAAAGCCGTTTTTGTTTCTTTCCTCAACCATCTGATGTACTTGCAATGTTTCACACCCACCTATTTGCCTTGTTAAGTAAGAGTCTGTCAACATCTCTGCGAAGGATGAAGGATTGATTGATTCATTGTCATTATTTTTCTGCTCTTCCTATCCATTGCTTTTAGTTCTGCTTGAGTCCAGGCCACTATTCCAGCTGTGTACCTAATGACTGGAATTGCCCAGGTGTTGATTGCCTTTATGGTATTTCCTCCATTGAGTTTGGACTTTTAAGAGTTTCTTCACTCTCTTGATGTATTTACCTCTAATCTTTTTCTTGACTTCAGCGTGCTTGATGTTGTCGGCTTGAAGGATACCCAAGTATTTGTAGCAATCTTCCTCATCCAGACTCTTAATGTTATTTTTGTGGGGCATCTTGATTCCTTCAGTTTTCACTATTTTTCCTTGTTTGATGGTAAGTATGGCACATTTGTCCAAGCCAAACTCCATTACAATATCTTGGCTGTATATATGGACAGTGTTGAGCAGCGATTCTATTTCAGATGAAGTTTTTTCATACAGCTTCAGATCATCCATGTAAAGGAGGTGGGATAGTCTGGCAGATGTTTTTGATGTTTGATAGCCATATCCTGAGTTATTCAGTATGGTTGACAGAGGAAACAGTGCAGTGACAAATAGTAGTGGTGATAGTGAATCTGTCAATGCTGCTAACATCGGTTTTTGCATTGACAACAGATGGAAATGTAGCCATCTTTTCCCCTTTACTTTAGAGTTAGATGATGCTGGGAGGGGCGGGATGTGAATGAGAGCCCAGTTAGACATAACAACACTAAACTTAGTGAGAGAATCCAGGTTATTGAGCCCAGAGCTGATATACGACTGTTAATTGGAGGAGGGAATTGTGCTTTGATACTATGTTCCCAGGGGAAGGGAATTCAGTTTTTGGCTTCGATTATGTAGTGCCGATATAGTGCTACTCGAATAAAAGATTCTTTAAGGTAAACAATGCCTCAAAGTTCTTTTGAAGAGCTTCATCTGTCAGAACCATGACAGAATCTGCTTGAAATATTCCTCTCTTGATATTAACCTCTCCCAGTCCCTCACCACTGATCTGCAA